CAAGCGCCGAAAAGGACTTTGTCAGAAGCTGCAACGAAACTGGGAAGGCCTCTACACCTCCTCAAGAAAATCAATGACCTGATCTACCGCATTCAGTTGTCAATGAGAAGTAAACCCAAGGTAGTTCACATTGAAAAGTTAGCGCCATACTGTGGTTCAGATCCTCCCCGTTGGCTCCAACCAGATCCCAGTAATCAAGTTATTCGAGACGAATAATTAGAGAAGAGGGAGCAATGTTACACTACACCCTGCAGTAGCTTGCGGCCGTTATAGGAAACGTGAAAATACGAAAAGGAGTGCAATGTCACCCATCATACTATAGTGTGCTGCGATCATCATAAGTAAAAGTACGAGTAAAAGAAGTTAGAATGGTCCAGAAATGTCGGGAAACGTCATTATTTGTCAAGAACATTCTAGGCATTTCGAGAAGGTTCACGAAGGGTCAAGCAAGCTATATAAGCAGATGATCCTGACGTCAGTTTTCAGTATAACTGGCCAGTCCTATTTGTTTCATTACGTTTAGTATAATAAAATATTTATTGGTTAAAAATAAAGTATATTTATAGATACAACACAATATTGCTATTACTTTTAAAAATAAACAAAAATTACATAAAAATACAAATTTTAAAATTGTGCATCTTCTGCTTGTCAACTTCCGATAAATAGGTTTTTAAATTGTTGCTGCTGATTCAGTTTTAATACCCAAATACCTATTCCTAAACAAATTTGGTGTTGTTCTGTGTATCGGTTTATGAGTTATGGTGGATACACACATACATACACACACACACACACACACACACACACACACACACACACACACACACACACACACGCGCGCGAGCGCACACACACCCACACACACACACACACACACACGCACATGCACGCGCACACACACACATACATACACATCATAAACATAACCTCACTTTTCTAATACATTAACCACAGAGGATTGGTCAGTTTACATACTAACCGACGAGTTGGTTATTATGTATTATTATGAATGTTCAGTTCAAACGTTATTTAAACACTGTGGATAGTTGTAACGAATGGAACCGTAATTTCGTTATTTCGACACAACCACCTCTTACTCAAATGTCATTTGTCGTCTTGTGAGATTTATTTTTGATTTGGTTGACAGCGACAATCAACTTGATTTTATAAATGATTTTTTATATCTTAAAATCCGTCTGATTTTATAAGGTAAGTTTTAATAATAATAATATGTTATTAAATATATATATTTTGTGCAAAGATTTCTTGAACAATTTGTCAAAGTTTAAACATAACCTTAATATCAACAATGGATAACACATGTTGGTTTTATATAAAATTATATATTATTTTTTTAGAATAAGATATTATGCTTTACTATATTTAAATATATTAAATAAGATTTTTCCTTTTCATATTAATTTTAGTCTCTGTGAAATTATTCATTTAATGGTTAAAGCATTTTATCTAAATCCTATTCTTTCCTATTTCCTATCTTAATAATAAAACCCTTTTTTAACTTATGGCTGTATCTAGATGGTTTTGGTTCAATCTGAAGACGGTTTTGATTTCATCATACTGAAAATCGTTTTGGATTCATCTCTAGACGTTTTTTGGATTCATCTCTAAACGTTTTATTGGAATCATCTCTAGATGTTTTTTGGTTTCATTTCTAGACGTTTTTTCGATTATTTCATCTCTAGACAGTTCGAGTTCAAATTTGAATACTGAAGATCATTCACACTTTTCATCACTAGACGTTTCATCCCAAGTCGGTTGAGTTTGAATACCATATATCTTGCAGATCATTCGCATTGCAGATTTATTCAGAATTACGAATAAGGATCCCGAATCCCTTTGTGGAAGTTGCCTGGCGAAATACCATCAGATAACCTAGATTTACATTCCTTATATTACCCAACTTATCAAAAGATAAGTGCATACTCAATAAATCGTTTTAAATTTGAATTTAGTGTGAATTATGTGAGTTAGAATTTGATAACTACCTAATCTAAAGCATGGTTTAAGTATTATTTGTTAGTGGTTAGTGATTTTATATATTTTTATCACTACTCTAGAGTCAAGTGTAGTAAGCTTTAAATATAGTGATGCCCAACTTCTTTTTCAAAGTTATTCGAGTTATTTTAAAACCTAACTCACGTCCTATCAATTGAGCTTAAACACGGTATCAAAAAAGATCAAATAACCAGGTAATCACGTTACACAGTATAAAAACTAGCCAAAACACCGTAAAATTTGTGTACTTTTGAAGAAATATGATTTTCCGTCAAAATAACCAGACATTTGGATGGTTTGTATACTATCCAGCTAGTCTATAAACTAGCCAAGTAAACACTTTAACCGTAAAATTCAAAGCATTTAAAAATTTGTTGGAAATATATATTCTTGAATGTAATAAATCTTATTACATTAACAACTTGTTTTAAATAAGAATAAAAAAAAGAAAGCCAGAGTTCTTTAAATTTAGCAAAAACCACATGAAACGTACAGGAGACAAAGATTGATTTCTTTGTTTTTTTCGGAGCTTTGTCCCTTTTTATTTCAAGCTTTTCAAATTGATAATAAATTCTGAAGACAAAAAAAAGAAACGAGTTTGGATTATAATAAAACTTCTGAATCATTTGAGAATTTGTTATTGAAATTCTCGGGATTACCGAGAGCTACAACGTTTATCGACGTTGAAAAGTTTATATGCTGGAAGTTCAAAGAATAAAAACTTTAGATTGTATGCGTATTCAAAACTTTTATTTTTCAGGAAGTGTAAAATATTAGTTTGATATACAGAGGAATACAACTTTATTGAGTTGACTTTCTTTTAAGTGTGTTTTGTTTAGTAGTACGATGCTAATTTTTGATAACGCGAATATAACTACCCTATTTGACTAAACCATTCGTATTCGCGATTTAAATTAATTTTCGTGCGTCTGTCATTTGTCACCTATAAGTAGGATGTTTGTTTATTTACATGTGTTTGTTTTGGTCGGATTTTATATTTGTGATTTTTTAACTATTTTTAGATAATATTCTCATTGTAATAGTGTTTTTAGGTTTCATTTAGTGTTAATTTAACTATTGGGGAAGCACTCCAAAACAGGTACATGGAAAAGCCTTCATAGGCAGACCATGTCCCAAAAGAACTGGAGAACTACTCTTAATGAATAGGAACCAGTTGAAAGTGATAACAGGGTTCATGATTGGGCACGCCCCAGTAAAGGGACACTTGGACAAAATTGGCATGTACAATGGGGAACTTATGTGCCGACTATGTCACAAGAAACCAGAAACGGCCAAACACATACTGTGCGAATGTGAAGCTCTAGATCGCAAAAGACAGGCTCTTTTTGGACAACCCCAGGTTGATCCAACAACATATAGAACCACTCACCCAAGGATCTATACAAATTTGTACAAGGTACAAAGGTGACAGAGTGGATGCTATGAACTAACATGGGGTAAAACACAATAAGCCAATAGGCTTCAGTGTTATTCGGAGACACATAGTCAGACGAGCCCAGGAGAAAAAAAAATAAAAAGTTTAGTTTTCGTGCTTTTGTCAAAAATATAACATTTATCATGTGTATGACTTAATTTGTTGGAAATATTCACCTATTGGTTGCTACAAGAACATCTAGAAATATGTATTTACTAAACCCAGGACATGTTTTATTATGTAGTTTAAAGGACATTTAAGGTACCAAACGTTTCTTATTGATGAACTTATTTAAAAATCTTACTATCCTTATTCTTATATTATGAAGTGAGTTATGTAGTGCTTTGTATACATGTAAATGGTAATAAAATCGTCACAAATCAGACTACAGTTCGATTCTTAACAAAGTTTGGCAAAATTTTAATATTGTGAATTTGTAGATATCCATTTACCGTAAGAAACAAAACTTTACGACTTGCACTTGGAAAATAATGATTACTTCAGTTTTGAAATTGACATTAACACCACATAGATTGCAATTTGCTGTGGGCTTTTTCGCAGATTTCATTTTTAATATAAACACTATCACATACTATAAGCAATAAACAAATTTAAAGCTAAAAATTTAGAAAAAACTCGAATTGTAATTGATACAAATTAAAATGTAAACAATTAACACGAACGCCAATGTTGCTAAATAATGAATTGATTTTAAAACAAAATTAAAAAAGGAACTGAAATATAAAAAAAATCAATATAATAAATCGGTTTTATTAAAAATTCCTTAAATAAATATAGAGTATGATTACATATTACTAGACACAAATTTTGATTTTTAAATAAAAGGTCTTATCCACTTCTTTAAGAGCTAAAATCCGACGAAGTAGCGAAATTTTGCTACTTCTGGCAACACTGAACTATATCCTACTTTTAGGGACCTTCTACAAATTTCCTCCAGAGGGCGTATCACTTAGTTTGAATTGTGAATAGGCAAGTTAAACAGTGACCATTTTTCAGAAAACCTAATAAACAACTAAATCATATCATTCAAGTTTAAATAACACGTAGTTTCTAAATACTAATTACTTAATACAAACCCTGTGCTAGAGCAAATGTTAAAGATATTTCTAATAATAAAAGTTAGATAAAAATTGTTTTAAAGAAAATAAAGGCATTTATAGACATAAAAATAGTGAGTATGACTAATTTCAATAGATTTTGGGTGACTAGTTCCTTTTTTTCATATAGGGAGGGCCATCGGCATTTTTGTGTGTAATATTGAAGTGGATTCTTCTATAGTGTTTGCTACGGACTGTCGCGCCTGTTTTCACCCTTGGAAGGCTACCAGTTTAACCCTTTACGAGAAATGTATGTTTGTATATATTTGGTAATATTGTACACTTTTTGATTATTGATTTATGTTATGGTTTGGTGTACCAGAATTTTAATTATTTGAGTTCATAATACTGTTTCTGACTCTTAGTGCTTAATAGTTTCTAGCTTAGGTACATTTTGAGTAATTAATTGTATAGTTTGGGAAACGTGCGTCAATTTATATTGACACATTTTATATTGTTAGGGTTTACCGAAGGGTTTACACTCCATTTGTTTGAATGTCATTTTTATTTATTAGATTCTTTACAAAACTAAATATGGAAGAAAATAAAGAATATGAAGCTCATCGGTCTCCTCAAAAAAAGAAAATTAAGCGTTATTGCGCGTTCAGTTTAGAGTGGGAAGATATGTTTGAACATGTTAAAAAGGTAGACTCTGAACATGGGAAGTGCATACTCTGTAATGTCAATCTTATAGTAAAACTTGAGGGAAAAAGAGCGATTGAAAATCATTGCAATAGTCAAAAACATAAGAATAATGTGCGTGGTCTCCAATCAAGTAAGTTATTGAGTACATTTTTTGTAACAAAATTTCTAAGGAAGAAGATGAGCTTTCTCTTATTGAAATGGTAAGTACATACCATTGTTAGACATTAAATAAGCTACAATACCCAGGAATGTCACAATGTCACTGATTCAAAAAGTTTGCCCAAGATCTCGTGTGGAAGAACAAAAGCTGTGAGTATCGTGGAAGATGTTTTAGCCCCAAAATCCCAAGAATGCTTGCTAGAGCATTTAAGAAAAGCGATTTATTTTTCCGTAGCATCCGACGTATCAAATAGGGGAAATATAAAACTATTTCCCTTATGTGTACAATTTTTTTCTAGAAGTGAAGGCGTTGTTCAAGGAGTTTTAGATTTTTATGAGGATTCAGACAAAACTAGCGAAGCTATTGCCAAACAAATTATTAAAATATTACAAAATAATAATCTCAACCTGGAATGTGTTACTAGCTATAGTGGGGATAATGCATCTATCAATTTCGGTGTTCGCTGCTCGGTATTTTAAAAGTTGAAAACTATTAACAGTAAACTAATTGCTGGTAATTGTAAATGTCACATTTCACATAATACAATAAAGTTTGCCAGCAAAGTATTAAATTTTGATATTGAAAGTTTTGTTATCAAGTTATATAACGAATCTTCAAGTTCGGCTAAACGAGTAAATACGTTTAAAAGATTTTTTGAATTTGTAGAATTAGAATATAATGATTTATTAAGATATATTGTAAACAGATGGCTGTCTTTGTTGCCAGCAATAGATAGGTTATTGTTAAACTGGCCGGCAATTAAATCATATTTTTTATTTGAAGAAGAAGAAAATTGCTTCTAAATAATTTGGGACATATTTAATAAAGATGACGACGAATCGGTTGTTCTTGCACTACTTCACTTTGTTCAAAATGTATTGGCAATTTTTCAAAGCAACATATTAAAATTAGAAACTAATGAAACCTCCGTAATGGAACAACATTCTGTAATGAACAATTTGAAAAGTTATTTGGAGGAAAGACTATCCGATAAATTTTATGGGAATTCTGCAAATCGAATGATAAGAAAAATTACAGAAAATAAGAGGATTCAATTTGGAAGACAGGCAGAATGCTTTTTAAAAAAGTCTTTAAGTTATTTGACAAAATGGTACGATTTCAATGACGATTTTCTGGCAAGTTTGGCCTGTGGAATTAAAAAATAATAAGTTAAATTGGCAAAAATTACAATTAATTCTTGACTTAATAAAAATAGATATAGATCAAGACGAATTATATAACGATTATATAATAGTCAATAAGATAATTGAAAATCCCGAATCTTTTTCTAAGAAAAATGTAATGAAAAAGTGGGTTCAGATTTTTAGTGTGGGTGCTTCTACGGCATCCAGTGATATCTTAAATGAAATGTTTAAATTGGTGTCTTACCTAATGTCGATACCGGTTGGCAATGCTTTCTGCAAACGTGTGTTCACTATTATGGAAGCACTGAGTATATCTATCTCAAGTAAAATCAGAAATGTAAGTGAGACTAAATTTTAATTTAAAGTGTCAGGACTTTTTGGATCTGGTTAAAACAGATAAAAAAATTACTTGAAGCAATTCGACCTCAACAAAAATATAGATTTAAATAGTAGTGGAAAAGTTTTAAATTTGTTGTTTCTTTTTTTTATTTTTGTAAATAATAAATATTAATTTTCTTTTTTGTTAAGTAGATACTTACCTCCTAGTTACATATGCTATTTATATGTTTAAAAATTTAAAAAAATTGATTTAACATTGATCTTTTTTTTCTGAGTTAAAAAATGCACACCTTTTTTTTACATTTAAAATTGCCCGTAAAATAAGAGAAACAAACAAGAGGACTGGAATTCGGAAAAAAAAAGACAATCCCAAAAAAAAATTCGCCTGTAACCGGCGCGGCGCTTTTTTTCTCTAACAATACATTATAAATAAATTTGTCCCGGAATAGCACATGCTCAATTTGGGAACCCTACACTGATCAGTGACGAAAGCTATAACCAAACTCAATTTTTATTTGATGTATCTATCTGAATTAGGGTGTGGTTCAAAGCCCACTCATACTGAAGCTCTAGGCCTAATGTACTCCTCACAGTTTCTACCCCTTCAGATTAATATTCTTGATGAATTTAAGAATTTGTCTGATGGGCGCTTTCGCGATTTCTTCAGGTTCCGAATATTTTACCCCAATGTTCTATTCCCGTTCCCATTTAATATCCCGACAGTGACATAGTATGTGAATAGGAGTTTTGTCCTCCTCTTCAAATATTCTACATAGGGAGTCATCAGATATCCCTAAGAGATTTAGGTGTCTTTTAAGGCCGCATTGTCCCGTAAAGAGTTCTATTACGGCCTTGAGTTCGTATCTGCTAAGGTTTAGCAGTTGATTTTGTCTGCTCTTAAATGGACCCCCTTTGCATATTTTGGACTGTCTAAATCCAGGAGGTTCCAACCAGAGCCTATGATGTTCTCTATTTATTTGTTGCGTTAGCACCCATTTAACATGTAGGTATGAAATACAACATGTGGGTTTTATTTGATCTACAAGCACCTAAAATCCCAAGAACTACAAAAAAAACAATAAAAACTTGCGCCACTTTCTAATCGTCCAATTTTAAAATCAAATCATGTATGGGAGCTATCTTTTTTTAAATACTATTACAGTTTCACGACGGAGACAAAAAATTGGCAAAATTATTTATTTATATTAGCAAAGGCTCTCTAATTGCATTAGTAATGGTCCACCTTGTATAAGGCCGGTCTCCACCCTTAACGAATCAGTCCCTCCCTGTAATATTGAATTCCACACAAAAGTCTTTTGTCTACTTTTAGAATCCCTGATTACAATTCCCAACGTATAAGAAGCCAGCAAATAAAAGAATATGTATAATATTTAATTTAGGATGAAGTTCACGTTACAGCGCCATTTTGCTGGCAAAAGATGATTGCCCCTGGGTCCAAAAGTCTTCTTCGGGAATGCGGCCTGATGCTGACGAATTAAATTATAGAGAAACGCTTGCCGGCACAAGTTCAAACTGAAAATGTAGACCCGCCACCTTTTAGAATCGGTGACTATGGGGTTGGCCTCGTTAGGGTTGGCCTTTTTAGGGTTGTTGTACGTTAAGTTTAATATGCTTGCGTTCGCAAAAATGATGACTTTTTTATTATTGTAGTAATTTAATGTTTTACAAGGTGGTCACAGTTTATTGACAACCTTTTGGCGTGTATTTCGGACAGTAATTCCAGAGGTTAAGATTAGTTTTCGGGACAAAAAATATCGCCAGTAGATTTTTTGAATATTTTAAATAAACTAACTAGAAATTTAACTTTTCGACTCATATATATGGTAAATTATTTTGGTTTCGAGGAAACAATTAAAACTAACAATTTTGCACGTCTCTGAACACCTGAACCCTGTACAAAAAGCAAGGATTCACTTACTTTTTATTTGTCCTGTTTATATATTGAATTAAAAAAAAGCATACAGAGATTTTAAAACCAGAGCTAAAACGTAGAAGATTTAATTCTACATAATTTTCCAAGTATCCCGCCAAAATATTTCTAAATTTTATTGGGTATTTTTCAAATCTAACCGAAAATACGATTAACAAATGTTTGTGAAATTTATTTGTCAAAGTAGAGATTTTCTATGAATACCTGTAATTGTGTAGTACATCTATTTTTAAGTAGATGTCACCATATAAAAACAATGTTGTCACACTGTTTTAAAAATGTTGTCACACTGTTTTAAAAATGGTTTTAGTAGGTAAATGATTGTTTGGAGGTTACTATTTTTGAATCGGTGATAAAGCTGTATGCTGTCTTTTATTGTTTTATCATTTAATATATGTCTCGCGTCGTTCAAGTTAGCAACAACATTATCAATTTATTTTCCGTGTGTACGGTTCAAATGTTGACCAGGTTGCCAGATGTACAATCATTATCGTTTTATACATAAATTCACAAATCTTTCAATAATTGTATTCAGACTTCTCCACAAAACGTCGATAATTCGGACGAATTTCATTTTAATGTGGGTAAAATGCAGGAAAGGGGGAACTTTATTGCATTCCGATGTAATTTGAATCCGAATGACCTGGCATCACTGTATCTTACGCACGTACTAATATTTGCGCACATCCCCAACTAGTCATTGATAAAAGTGTATTTGTTGTGAAGTCTTGATGGTGATCATCATCTACTAACTTTATAGTCCAGGAGAGAGTGACGATTTTCGCTATTTATTTTCCCAGTCGGTAGGGTTAGCAATTCTAAACAAAATTTATATATATTTAGAGAGGGTCGATGGATTGAAGCCAAAAATGCGTCAAAACATACGAAAACGCGGCCCATTTTTTCCAGTGATAAAAATAGTTCTAGTAGTAAGAAGTATACTGAAGTTAAGTAAAAAAATTGTCCGATTAATCTGTGGGTATGGATAATATATTTTTTAATTTGAATTTAAATTGTGTGGTCTATTTATATTTGATTGCTGCTTTTCGATAAGTGCTTTGTTCTTTTTGGGTTAAAATAAGCTTCATAACCATTAAGTACATGCTTCTAGTTGATATCTACCTAATCGTTATCGGGTTCTTGCAACAATGGGAAAAAGTGTATGGTTTTCTGGTGTAAAAGTCAGACGCCTTCATTTTTCAGGTAAGGATGACTAGTTTTTTTTTACTTAAAAGGATAGCAATACGTCCTGGTTCCCCCGGTGCGCCTGTTGGGTTTTAGCTATCTGAGCCAAATTGTTGGCTAAGTGTCCTCTTTTGGGGCACCAAGAACCAAATACTATATAGTTATATATCATGTTTTTTTTTAATTAACTTTTAATAGGTATGCAGCTTGGATGAGGGCTTTAGGAAAAGATCCTAAGACTGAAACGCTGACTGCCACAAATGCCGTTTTTAGAGCACATTTCATAGCAGGAACTACGAGACGTTTAAAAAACATGTACCAGCTATTACTTTAAGACCTCGTCTATTTAATAAGTTATTATTACTTCATTCTAAAGCATATATTAAAAAGGTTTTTAACTTGTTTTTAGTTATAGAAATATATCATACATTGTATTGACCTGCTGGCCACTGGCCATTCCACTTTTACTTAATTTTTT